GTTACCCATAAAGTCCTTGAGTTGAATTGTTCATGCCCATAATTCTGCATGAACCCTATAAGTCGAACAGTCTTGAGATGAGGAGTATCTTTGAGTCCTTAAGTTGAGTAGTTCATGCTCATAATTTTGCACGAACCCTCTGAGTTGAGCATTCTTGAAATGAGTTGTATTATTGAAGTTCTTGAGCTCCAAGTATTGAGTTCTATCTATGGTTATTGAAAACCTTGCATTGAGTCGTTCACGTCCATAATTCGGCATGAACCATATTTTAAGAAGTTTATTACAAACGTTTTAACTTTGTTTTAAGACTTAAGCTTTGAGTTGATAAAGAGTAAGTAAAGTTCATTTCTTCAAAGATTATACGGGAACTAAGTATTCCCAAGAGTTAAAATGTTTTCATATTTGAATAAGAAAGGAAATACCGATTTCCAAGAAAGTTTTTAATCTAAGTTTTGAGTAATTATCTCAAACCAAAGAAAGAGTTTTGTTTTTAAAACATATGAGTTGAGTATATTTTGGGAGTGATATTGAGCACCGTTATGGGGACGCGAGTTCATAATAACTCAAGTCTCCATAAACCATGTAGCCATCATGGGTAGAAATGATCATACTTTTTAGATGACTCTTTAGTGCTTTTTAGCATAGACTAGTGGATCCACTTAGTTAAGGCATTCTATATGATAGCAAAGTATAGGACAGTTCTGGCAGCATGAGCAAGACGTTGTATCATCACTTAGGCTCATAGTGGTGGTTGTCGGTTTGAGAAACTCCTACAGAATTATATTGTATTTTTATATACACATTGAGTATTATTATATTTTTCAATACATTGAGTTTCTATCTACAATTTTATAGCTTTCCATATATATTGCATCTTTTAATATTTCTTTATCCTTGAGTATCATGAGTTGAGTCTTTCGAGTTGAGTATCTTATCCTTGAGTACTTCTGAGTTGAGTAAGTTTGAGTAGTTTTGAGTATCCTTGAGTATTCCTTGAGTTGAGTAAGTTTTGAGAAAAGGTAAGTATGTTTCCATTTTTATCAAGTTTCAAGCTTATGTTATGCTTTAAAATTCTCCTTACATGCTCGTACATTCCATGTACTGAGCCATTTGGCCTGGATCCTTTCATGATGCAGATTCAGGTATTCGGGATCATCAACAGGAGCTTCGTTGATACCACATAGAGTTCGAGTTGGCTATGGTGAGCCTCCTTACTTCCGGAGGATTTCATTTACTTTTCAGTTGTTAGGATGTCGTGGGTCTTGTCCCGACTTCCATCTTTGTCAATTAGAGGCTTCATAGATAGACAGTAGAGTTTCAGAAGTCTGTTCATTTATTTTGTTAAATGTTTTAAAGACTTAAGTTGCCTATTTTGGGGCGAGTTGAATATATTATATTATTTAGAGTTTTATTTTGAGTTAAAGTTTTGTATTTAAGTTTTCATGCATTTTATTTAGTTTTTAAGCTTTTGCATGCTTAAGTTAGTCTTCTGCTTATAGTCAGCCAGGATGAGGGTTCGCTTGGGACCAACAATGGTTCTCGAGTGCCGGTCACATCCAGGGTGTAGGCTCTGGTTGTGACACAGGGTTAGTTGGGGTCACTCATGATCCTAGGTCCTGTGTTACGTCAAGGGGTAGCCTCGTGGTGTGACATATGTTTTCTAACCTTTTATCTTATGATTTAGCTTGGTCATTGCATGTCATGTAATGTTATTTTTAGCATGATGTCATAACTCTTATGCAATGCTATCATACTTAGTACATTTCATGTACTAATGCATACTTGTGCCTACATTGTTTCACTAATGTAGGGTCTAGCCCCCCTACCTATCACACTTGTGGCTAGTTGATCTTTTGGCACTCAAAAAATTGGTTAGTCATCATGTTATGAGGATCGAATCACTTTATTGCTTTCTTTATTTTAGTTTTCAGACTTTGTACGTGATTTATGGGTTACGTCCCAATCACCTCCTTATGATACAATAGATGGGTTGTTGAGACTATGCTAGACTTCCACTTTGTCAAACTATTTTATAATATAAGACTATGACTTTGAAAGATTTATTTCTATTATCTTTTGTGATGTATGCTAAGTGGATTGTGTAGAGACTTTTGGGGTTCTATACGCCATGTTACACCAAGGGTATACTTTGTGTCGTGACAGATTTGGAGTGTGCGCGGTTAGGCTTCCACTTTGTCAAACTATTTTATAATATAAGACTATGACTTTGAAAGATTTATTTCTATTATCTTTTGTGATGTATGCTAAGTGGCTTGTGTATGGACTTTTGGGGTTTTATACGCCATGTTACGCCTAGGGTATACTTTGGGTAGTGACAGATTAGGAGCATGCGCGGTTAGGCTACAACTTTCTTTCCCTTAGATTGAGCTTGAATATGTAAAAACATGTTGATTTGAGTGAATTAGGGGCGGGTACCTAGTTGATCATGTTACTTTTATTAGAAATCATGTTTTATGCATATTTTCAGGATAATAGGGCCTTGAAGTATGCTAGTGCGATTTTGGATCATCCTTACCTTGTAGTTAGCTTTGTTGTTGTTATTCATTGATTGTTTGGACATGTTTGGCCTTAGTCTATTCTTATACTAGTTTTTTCCATAGACTTTGATAGTTGGAGCCTTTTTGGCCTTATTTCTACTGTGACATCGATTTGGACTGTTTAGGTCCTTGTAGACTAGTGTAGTAGACAAGAGTCTGATAGAATGAGCTTTAGACTAGGCGTTGACTCACCTTTGACGACCTTTTATCCACTCTCCCTCTTTCTACGACCCTGTTTGTTACATTTGAGATTTCGAGCCTTGCTTGGTGACTTTGGACTGGAGTTGGTTTGAGCTTGGAGTGTTGTACTGATTACTTAGGAGTGGACGTCATTCCATGGTGATTCTATTGTGATGATTGGCATGAGATCCTTCAACAACCTTATTTATTCACACATTCAAGGCCTAGTCTTATACTCTACTGAGTCGACACACTTTTGGTAATGGCCTTACTCCCTGGCAAATTAATTCACGGTTTGAGGTCTAGGATCTGTACATTTTAGCTGGGCTTCCCTTGTTGGTTAGTTGGACGTTATTCGCAGTTAGAGGTACGATCTATGCCTTCTCTAGATTTGGACCTATTATATCTTATTCTTGGTAGTTTTAGCTATTTTGTGTACCTGTCGGGCTTATGAGGGTGCACTCAGATTTTTTACTTAAACTTGTGAATGAATGTAATTTCTGGGATTATGGGGGTCAATCTAGGTTTAGTTTAGTTGTTCTTAATTCTTTTCTATATTGGTACACTCGTGTGCTTTTCTTTTAAATTTCGCTTTGACCTTACCTGTGTCTAGATTCTATCATTTCATATTTTTTTAGTTTTTTTTCTTAGTCAACCTATGATGCCTACTGAGTACCTCTTGTTTTGGTACTTGTGCTACACTATGCATATGTTTCGTGATGCAGGTTCGAGCACCAGCTATAACCGTTCAATACTCGAGCCAATTACAACTTGGATCGAAGGCGAGGATAAGCACATGACGTCCTGAACTTACATGTCTTCTTTTGTATTTTTTGGATAGCTAGTCTTTTAAATTTTGGGACAAGCTTCATATTTGGGTCCACTTTTAGAACTTGTACTCTTTTTTTCTAGACAACTCTGTACTTGTGACTTTCATGTTCTGGGATGGATCTATTTTATATATATATATATATATATATATATTAACTTGCTTCTACTTTGTTTCTACCCTTATATCCATCAATTGTTGTTCTAGGTTATGGGCTGGCTTACTTACTAGTGGGTTCTAGTAGGTTCCATCAAAACTCGAGAAATTAGGTTGTGACACAATATCAATAATATAATCAAAAGGACAACAAGGCCAACTTAACTCATAAAGAACTAGAAAGACAATAAGGATGCAACTGAAACCATATACAATAAGCCAACAACGCTACAAATGGAAAGCTGAAAAGACCCAACATAGTATGTCCACAAATATCTACTTATACAACAACTCAAATGGTTGGGACAAGGTCTCGACAATACCACTAACTATATACATAACTCAAGTATGCATAACCCACATATAACCAACAGCTCTAGGAAGAATGGAGCTTACCATTCCTCAGCTAAGACTACATCATATTACAAAGTCTGATCAAGACTTTCGTTTGAACCTGCGCCACAAAATGTAGTGTCCCTAGGAAATGAGACATCAATATGAAGTATGGAAGTTGGAAAGTAAAATTATAAATAGTTGCAATAAAAAAGGTAATAAAGATATTACTTAACACTGAAACTTAGTTAGCCTTCATGGTTGACATCTCACATCATTGTAATCAAATATGTATGGCATGCTCGAGCAATTGCATGTCGTGAGTACATATATATAGATGCACATGGATGAAATACCTAATAAAATGCTAGTAGTGGTGGTCTCTTTTGGTAGCTAAGCGGAATCATATTGCCAACATGTGACCATTTGTACAATATACATAGTCTTCTGGGAAAATAGGTCTTCTACCCTCCGATTATAGCTCGAAGTTAATGCATATAACATGGCATGATATGAACTATGAATGCATAGAGTAGGCCATAATAAGAACTTAGCCAATCTTGGCTCGTTCATACTCTTATTCTCATACTCTCGTAATCATTTTCGTATAGCTTGTAAAAGTCTTGTAGAACCTTATGTGCTTTTAGAATAAACCTAGACATGTGACTCTACTTTGGAAAGGTAACTTTTTTTTTGGTAAGTAAACATTTTATTTACCAAGTAAACGTTACAAATCAAAAAGTAGCCGGTATGGACATAAGCTCCATCCTTGCTAAACAAAGTTCTCACATCTGCTAACTATCTCTATGGGTAAAAATTTAAAGTGCTTAATCTAGTAGCTATTCTTGGATACCTAATGCCTCTTCCATGTATCTCCTAAATTATATGCCTGATCAAGTAGCTTACTAACTGCTGCTTGTGTTGAAAAATTCTGGTATTGCGCTCTAGCCATAAATGATAAATTGTGTTTGCATTGCCATTCTATACACAAGGGACTTGCTGCTTCTCCCTTTCATGTAGTGCACTGCCCAATTTATCTCACTGGTCCAGTTCATTGCATTTCTTGTTATTCCCTGCCAATGTAGTATACTCTTCCACACCTCTGTTGCATATGCACATAGAAAAAATATGTGATCATGATCTTCATCTACTGATTGGCATAGGGGACAGGTTAGTACTTGAATGATTCCCCACTTTGCCAATCTATCTTTGGTTGCAAGTCTTCTTTTCACTGCCAAATACATGATGAACAACCACTTAGGGGCACCAAAATTTGTCCACATTAGTGATCTCCATTCTACCTTCTCCTTTATACCTCTCATCTGCCAATACACTTTACTTATGTTGTACTGTTTCATATTGTTCATATCCTCCTCAGTAAATCCTACCTCTTGTAAATATTTTGCAGCCTTTAATATCTTCTGTACCACCCAAGAAGCTTGTTGAGCTTGGATATTCCATATACCTTTTTTCCCATAGTAACTATGTATCCATATAACCCATAGTTTATCCTTTTTCTTGCATAAATTCCACAATAACTTGCCAACTGCTGCTTTATTCCATGTATATATATCAAGGAAATTCAATCCTCCACTTGCTTTTGGCCAACACATCTTGTCCCATGCCACTAATGCTTTCTTTGAAGTCTCAATGCTTCCTGTCCATAAAAATTTTCTGCATATATTTTCCACTGTTTGTATCACTTTCTTTGGAAGAGCAAATATCTGAGCCCAAAACATTTGTATTGCATACAACACACTTTTGATAAGTTGAGCTCGACCTGCATATGATAGAAACTTTGTTGTCCAACTTGTAATCCTGCTTAACATCCTGTCCAGAAAAGGTTTACGTTGTACAATGGAAATCCTTTTAGTACTTAAGGGCACTCCAAGGTACCTAAAAGGTAGTTCACCTTTCACATATTGTAGCTCCTGCAGAATCTCCTCTTGTTGTTGTTTATTAACTCCTCCAAAATAGACACTACCCTTTTCTTCATTTGCAACCAGACCTGAAGCTTTAGAGAACATCATAAAACAATTTCTAATACATTTCACTGATTTGATATCACCTCTACAAAACATTAGCAGATCATCAGCAAAGCTCAACTGCACTATGTTCTATTTTTTTGCATCTAGGATGATATTGGAAATCAGGATTTTGCTGCAAGTTCTTTAAAATTCTAGTCAAGTAATCCATGGCTAGCACAAATAGGTAAGGAGACATTGGATCTCCTTGTCTCACTCCCCTCTTGGCCTTAAAAAGAGTTGTGCTTTGTCCATTTATCTGGATAGAATAAGTGACTGTAGTAACACATTGCATGATCTACTGAATGACTTTGGCTGGCATTTGAAGCTCCTCCAGAATCTGTTCCAAGAATGACCATTCCAAGGAATCATATGCTTTCCTCATATCTACTTTCACCATACATCTCCTTGAAATTCCTTGTCTACCATACCCTTTAATCAATTCATGACTCAATATCACATTATCATTCAAAGCCCTCCCTGGTACAAAAGCTGACTGGTTTGGATCCACTAGTGTTTCCATAACAGGTTTTAACCTTGCAGTGATGACTTTAGCTATGATTTTGTATAATGTTGAGCAACATGATATAGGCCTATATTCACTAATTCTGGTTGGATTCTGCACCTTAGGAATGAAAGTTATATTTGTACAATTGATTGCCTGGTACATTTCCCCTGTATTAAAGAATTCTAGGATAGCATTAATTACCTCCTCTCCTACCACTGGCCAAGCTTTCTTGAAAAAAACAGCATTGAGTCCATCCTTCCCTAGTGCTTTTAGATCATTAATTCCCTGCAAAGCAGATTCCACCTCCTCTTTTGTAACTGGAGCTTCTAACTTCAATTGTTGTTCTCTATTCAACTTCCCATCTTCCTTCATTATTTGCTTATCCACACTAGGCAACCTATATGCATTCTGACCAAGCAGTTCCTGATAAAATGTAATAGCGTCCGTTTCAATTTCTTCTTGAGAATACACATTGATACCTGCAGCAGTTGTAAGATTAGTTATAGTATTTTGTGCCAGCCTATTCTTCATGTAAGCAAAGAAATAACTTGTGTTTGCATCTCCTAGATTTAACCATTGCACCCTTGACTTTTGTCTCACGGCACTCTCCTCAATTAGACTCCATTTCTCTAGTTGTTGTTTCAGTGCCTTCTCTTGGTCCTTTTTATCGTTCACTTGCCTGTAATCTATCATGTCATGTTGCATTTGATGTAGATGTGTTCTAATGGTCTAAATCATGTGCCTAACTCCCCTGAATTCAGTATTATTCAACTCTTTAATAGCTCTGATGACTCTTTTGAGTTTCTTCCAGACAACTTTCATGCTTCCATTTGTCTCTCCTTGCCATGCTTGCTTTACTATTGGTAGGAACCTGGTATGATCTGCAATGCAGTTAAAGAATCTAAAAGCTCTATACTTTTTTTGGCTCCTCTTTTCTAGTGCAATCTTCAAAGGAGAATGATCAGATATCCCTAGTCTGAGTATATGCACCTCCATAATTGGCATTTGTATCATCCATTCAGCATTCACTAAAGCCCTGTCTATCCTGCTGCAAGTATGCCCATTCGTCCAGGTGTATATGCCCCCAACTGTTTTCATCTCCTGCAAACTAGTGTCTATTATGAAATCATTGAAGTCTTTAACCTCTATATCTTGTACTTGACTACCTTGCGGTCTATCTTCAACTTGTAACACTGCATTATAATCCCCCATGCACAGCAAGGGTCCTTGAGCTGTGGCAATCAATCTCCTAAGGTCCTCCCACATTATCAGTCTATCTTTAATTGTATGTAGCCCATACACTGCCACAAACATAAATTCCAAACCACTTCATTTAATCCTTATGTTTGTTTGTATGTATTGATCAGACTTACTTCCCACTACACAATCCACATACTTAGAATCCCATAGCATCCAAATTCTACCCTTAGGAGTAAATGCATAATTTTCCTCATACCTCCACCCTGGAGCAATTTTCTGAATTATTTTATTAGCTAACCCTTCCTTTATTTTATGCTCTAGTACGGCTATAATACTAACATTATTTTCCCTCAAAAACAGTCTTATTTCCTTCTGTTTGTGAGGTTTATTTAGTCCTCTAATGTTCCAAGTGACTAGCTGCATATGCAGTCAAATCTAGTGTGTTCCTGTTATCTTCTTCACCCTGCTTGTGCTTAAGTTGACACTCCACCTGCCTTGAACCTCCTTGTTCATACACCTGTATAGTGCCAAACCTATTCTACATCATCATCTGCACATCTGGTGATTTGTTTGGACTTCTTCCTACTGCCTTTACTGGTGTTTGTTTCCATATTTCTTCTCTAGGTGCCACTACTTGTTCCTTGACTTCTGGTACCTTACCCTCCTTTGTTTTATTAGTATCCACTTTAGGTTGCCATTTAGTTACTTTCCTTTGCACTTTCACCCCTTCTTTCTCATTGCATTTATGCCCCACTTGCATGCATTTAGCACAATATTTTGGTACCCATTCATATTGTACAGCTTGTTCAAAACACCTTCCACTTGGATCTTCAACTTTCAGCTTTCTAGGTAATTCCCTGGCCACATCAATTTCAATAAGCACTCTAGCAAATGATATTCTATCAACCTTAGTAGTGCATTCATCTGCATATAATGGCTCCCCTAGTTCACTACTAATTCTGCTCAAGGAATCCATACTCCAGCAACCTAAACATGGGGATGTTCATAAAGATCTTAAGGTGCTTAAGAATCTCATCAGAGGTTCATTTAAATTTACGACCATTTAGGTTATTATAGACTTAAAGCTATTGACTCGACTTCAATTACAAATTAATCATTTAGGAACTCAAAAAGAGACTGACATGTCTGACTTGATCTACTATAAACGACTCCAAGTTGGTCATAGTATTAGCCTATTTAGAAACAATGTTGTTTGACAAGTATATAACCAAATGAATAGGGTACAAGATTTAGTATGAACGTAATTTTCAAATAACATTTTTCGTAATAGCTTCTGATGAGAAAGAATGATTTAACAATCCCCTTAGATACAACATAGTAATCCTCTAGCCTTACACTCATACTATTAGGACAAAAGCTCACTAATAAATCTAGGGAATACGAAATTCTAACAGAAAATAATTCTAACAGAAAATAATTCTAACCAACAAACATACTTCACATTACTGCAAGTACGATAATGATATGTTAAAGTCAAGAAATAATATTAGATGTTCGATGTTCCAATATAACGTCAAAATAATTTTCGCCAGTAAAACTCCTTTGTATGTGATTATGCAACATCTCTCAAAATTTTGCTATTTTTTTTAGAGTAGAAGAGAGTGTTGGAGCTTATATTTATAGAGATCACTTATAACTATGAAATCTATTGGTTACTGCATATATATATATATATATATATATATATATATATATAACTTTGTTGTTAATATGGAGGTGAGGGGAGGTGGACACCATTTGTTGTTAATATGGAAGACTGTCACTTATCATTTCCCTTTAATAATAAATATAACTTTTTACATATATTATAATTTTAAAAAATTATTTGGAATAATTCTACCTTATATAATAACAATCTTTCCATCATAATAAGATCTACTTTCTCCGTTAAAATATAAATAACTTATAAGAATCTTATAAAATGAATACATGTGAAAATATACTGTAACAAAAATTTTCATACATACTTAAAGACAATTTTGGGAGTCAATAAAAATATGTTTTATCAAATTTTAATTTAAACTCAATGTTTCCAAAAACAAGTCGTATTATAATAAACCTCTCACTTTTAAGGTTGTAAGCCTTAAATGTGGTACAAAGGACAATCGGGGTGTTACACATGTATTGACTGATTTAGACTAGATTAATCATTGCCTATTTTATTGAAATTCCATCGTAATGCATACAACCCTAATTGTCTCCATCTTGGTGAGAAATCTTTTGAGTTGACTTCTAGCAATTAATATTTTTCATTGTGTAATTGTAGTGTTTTCCAAATACCCCCATTTTTATATATACTTTTGAAACAACATTGTGCTAGATAGAATTGAATTAACGAATCAATGGAAATGTAATCCTCTCTGTTGGTCCTAGTAGTTAGACCTTGACCTCATATGTTGGGTACTATTTTTGCACACGATCGCCTATGCCTTAATTGTGAGGCATAGTTGAGTGTTATCAATCTAGCGGGGGGGTTTTCTGTAACTATTTTGTATAGTTTAAGAAGATATTATATTTTGTGTGTATCTATTTCATAACGATAAGGATCAAATATACTTCTGTAGTATTCGAAATAGCTTAAATATATCTCTTATTATATGTTCGGTTATAATATATCCCTAATGTTATATTTTTGTTCAAATATACCCTTCCCATTAAACTTTAGTCCAATTTTTTCCTTAATCTTAACGAAAAGACATGTGGCAAGCTCAGAATCAAATGACTTATCCCAAAATTTTAAATACTCAATTCTTTTAGAAATTCATCCCCAACTCATTCTGTACGCTTTGAATTCTTTTATTTTCAACTTCTTCTTCTTGAAAAAAAGGCAAATAATTTGTCATACGCGATAGTTGGGATCATTTCTCTTTTATTTTAGATTGAGGTATTTTTAATAAATGTATAATAAGTTTTTAACTATGATTAATATTTCTTTAAAGGGAGTATTAATAAAATACACTACTAAAATCTCTTTTACAAATTTTTGATGCACCAAAAAATGAGTTGCACCCCACGTTCATTAATTTCCTTGTAGTATAGTAAGAAGATATCAGTGATATGACTAATTTTATATTATAGAAATAAATTTGAAGAATCGTCTTCTTTAATTTGTGCTGGAAAAGGGTAGCACAACAATGTTGAGTGAATCGTGATACACATATTTCATCATTTCTATATATAAAAAAATAATTATGAAAGAGAAGATGATATTTTTAAAACAACTAAAAAGCGGAGGGAATGGGTTTGCGATGAGTAAATGAGTGGATCTCTAAGAAAATTGGGAGTGAATCACTTGATTCTGAGCTTGCCGTGTGTCTTTCCATCAAGATTAAGGATAGATTTGTGCCAAAGTATTATGGGAGGAGTATAGTTGTATTAAAAGTATAATGAGAGGAGTATATATATTTGGATCTAAAGTATAATGACAGTTATATTTAAATTATTTTCGATAGTACAAGAGTATATTTGACCCTTCTCTGATTTCCTAATAATAAATATTATCTTAATTTCTATTATTCAATTTTTAACTAACTTGTGTGACATCCCAAATTAATAGTATAAGAAAATATATTCACATATTCGAAATAACTAAGTAATAATTATATAGCAAGTTCATTTGGATATTAACAAATTCATTGAGCAAGCTTATAGTTATATTGTTTAAAACAACTAACTAATAATTATCGAGTTAAATATCAACATAAAATAGGATAGACGAATAAATTCTTTAACACACTTAAACCTAACCTTTAAAGAATAATATAGAGTTTATAAGCTAACCTACCAAAAACATCTAAGGACCCGTTTGGGCATGCGATATGAAATCATGATTTTAAATCAGAATGATTTGAAGTTGAAGTTGATGTTTTGTGTAACACCCCGTATCCGAAAACAAACTAACCAGTAGATTTCCAAAAGTTGTAGGTGCAACCCATGGACTGTAGGTGGGGTCCGTGGATGGCCACCTGTAGCCTTCGCAGAAAAAAAATCATAAATTGGTCTAAGGGTCGACCCACGGCGGTCGGACCCACGAACTGTAGGTCAGACCACGGTCCGTGGTCCAGGACCGTAGGTCGTACCCCCGATTTCAACTCCCAGAACCTCGTCGACGGTTGATCAGCACGAACCGTGGGTCAGTTCCGTCGGTGGCCCCGACAACTTTTAAGTCAGGGGTCTTTGGTCTTTTTCCTATGCTTTGGACCCCTAAACTACGTCGTTTAACCCCTAAACTACGTAATTTTGGTCAATTTTAGCCTAGTAACTTAGTTAGAACCTAACCTAATCAATCATTCACCAAAAAATCATCGATCTTAGAGCAAAACAAGAGGAAGAAATCGAACAACCCTAGTTCAAGAACGCAACAAGGTTCCGTTAGTTTCAGCCCCGAAATCAGAAGATTTCTCCGTAAAATTCGTCACCAGGTATGTGGAATTTCACTAGTGGGTTCCTTTCATCCATTAGATCCCTAGAATTCAGTCAGATTCTTGATTCCCTCCATATCATCTAGACCTAGGGTTTCTAGAATTTCAGCAGATTATTATGAATTAGTTAACTTAATGTCCAAATCAGATGATCATGTAGTAGTATCGTTTTTGCCCAGATTCATGCATAAATTTAGAACCCTAAGTTATGTAGTTCTTTTATTTCACGAATTACATTAACTAGGATATATAAACAAATATACATGCCTCAGTCTTCGAATATTTCATTATCAGATATACATGTTGCATTTCAAATTTTGCATGTCAGATTATTGAGCTATCTAGTTTACTTCAATATGTTATAAATTTCACATATTCAGTTGGGAGTAGGCTTTATACCGAGTTGGACTGGGGTCAGTCACCCTCAAGTCTCAGAACTACGTGCCCCCATTGGTTATAAGTCCCCTTTATGGGCATCAGATTAGTGATCACGCCATTCATGCCTCTATACCTCTGGCAGAGTATATTGGGTCCTCTAGATGGGGTGTATACACCTGACTCCACATTTAGCTCTTGTGGTTTTGTGTCGGTTATTAGTAGCTCCCACGGTCAGATTCTAGTGCATTGACCAAATTATCAGTTACAGTTCAGTATTTAGTTTCAACATGTTATAAACTTGGTCATTGCATTCAGTTAGTTCATGTTCAGTATTTTCAGTATAGTTTCATGCTTATCTCATGTTCAGATTATATTATTGCTCAGTTATATGCTTTGTTCAGTTATGTATTTCATTCAGCTTTATTCTATCTGACATGCTCAGTACCTTTCAAGTATTGATGCATACTCTGCACTACATCTTCTCGTGATGTAGGTTCAGGTCCTCAGCATTCAGATCACGCATAGATCGGTCCCTGATCTTTAGTTTAGCAACATCAGTGGTGAGTCCTCATTCTTCGAGGACGGTTGACATGTTTATTTTCTACTTTCAATCTTTAGTTTCTGTTTTGCTAGATTTAGCTGAGCATGTCCCAGCATTTCTAGTCAGTTAGAGCCTTTATTTCAGACATATATAGTTAGTTTCAGTTTTAGCTTTAGAGTTTGATATTTCAGTTGTCATTGAACTCATAGTTCTTTTATTCATATAGTAATGGGTATTCCCCACCATTTTAGTTTACCTTATGTTTAAGCTTCTGCACAATATTTTTATTTCAGTAAATCTTTAAGTATGCTTATGATATGCCAGTAGGGTTAGCTTGGGGTCACTTGTGATCCTAGGTCCCGTGTCCGCGTCCTGGGATAGCTTTGGGGCGTGATATTTTGTTTGGACATGCATTAAAATTTCTAAGTTGTTTTTTTTTCATTAACATGAAAACTGCATAAGTTGTTAAAACTATTAATATTTTTCCTATTCGTATACAATCTTACTAGATGAGCAAATCACAGTTCATAAACAAAATATCAGAGTATCCTAAAGTGCCACATTGATAAATCACATATCTTCATATTTCTTGTATAAATAAATGTCTTTAGTGCAAACTTCTAAATACACATAATTTTATAAAGATCTATTAGTCAATAATTGTAGTAACTAGTTATTCTTTAATATAATCATTTCACATGGTACAAACAATATTTTCACACCGAACACAAGTTATTTTTTGCACAATATAAAATGAGAGATCCTTTTTGGTAAGATATAACTTTTGAGTCAATTTCATAATTAATTGTTATTTAAAATAATGATTTAGAATCTCAAATTAAATTTTTGTTATAGAAAATTTAAGATTTGAAATCATGAAAATCATAATCTCAAATTGCATGTCTAAATATTCATTTGAAATCAAAATTTAAAATTATGACTTTATATTGCATGTTCAAATACAAATTAAGTGTTAGAATCCCCTAGTTTATATTCCTCATATAACGTACTAATCTAGTACACTATATAACCTTTGATGACCATAAAATTCACTGGAACCTAGCGAACTAAGTTCTTTTATATGTTAATTTTTTTGTTCAGAAAACATTCTTTAATTATATCCAAATGTAAACTACATCATTGAAAATATATATATATTTTTTGATATAAAACATCCTTCAAGTATTTGAAGTTAACAATTTACATCCTTCTGTTAGATATTGTCAAAAAACTAAGAGATTCTACAAAGTATGAGCATTCACGTAACTATCAACAAAAGTTTTTCTGCATAATTTTATTACCTGCTATAAAAAGTTTGTGAAGAAAAATATTAAAAATATTGGACACAATTGCTTATTGACACAAAAATGTTAGGAAGGTGTGATATACATGATTTACTCTTTTTCTCATTTACCAACATAAATAAGTTGGAGCTTATCTTCACCTTTTTCAAAGCCAACTGTATTTAGTTCAATAATTTTTTGGGGCAATCTGATATTGAAGCGATCAATATTCTGATTATATTTCGCATTGGAGTTGCATTCTCTATTATTAGTAGAGGAACTCTCCAACAAACACCCCATCTAGTAGACTCAATTGAGAAGAAACATATTTCGTCTGTTAATCTTTTTTAATATTAAATCACATGTGAAATAAATGACAAATAATTAGCAACTTTAATTTTTTTAAATAATGCTAAACTCAATTGCCGAAAAAGTTTATAATGATAGTTTTAACGTATCTCAAAATAATAAATACAAAGGGAAGACTTGATTTTTGTGAGATCTGTTAGTATTTTAATAAACTCAAGCAGAAGGATGAAAATTGTTTAATTTTTAAATATTGGAAATATGTTTTCTACTGAGAATAATATTATTTAAGAATGCAATCTTACATTTTTAGGTGATATTTGGTTAAACTTTGCGAAATGACATTTTTAGGCGGGCCTCTTTGTTTCCGGCATTATTATTATTATTACTTTCCTCCACACTGTCACTATCCCTGTCCCCCTTTCTCCCCCCTTTGATTTTTAATAATGATTGAATATATATAAACATAAATAGTACTATTAATTAGTAGTCTCCCTAGCACAAGAGCTCTCCACTCCTTGAGCATACCCAACTTCCAACACCAAAACTAGTGCTCAACAGCTCACTCTTCTACTGCTGCTTCGAAGTTTGTTTAGTCGGAGAAAATAGATACACGCGCCTCCATCCTCTCTGTAATGCAGCATTGCCGTCTGGCCGGATATTAAACACAATGGGTAAGTGTCATCGCCGGAACGATGTCGCATCCGTCGTCCTCGACCCTCCTGTTTCCACTACCGGACCTGATCACTTCAAGCTCTGGTCTACTTTTTCTCGCGCATCCTTCCGCCGCATGATCCTCGACGCCGTCCGATGTGGCGGCAGAAGTCACAAGCCTTCTTCCAAGTCTCCTCCCGATCAGCCGCCCAGACCTGTTGGTTCCATTGATGTAAGATCTGAATGTGAACACAAGAAACCTGCCGGATCCGACAGGTTGTCGGAGCTCTTGAGGCTGTCCGAGTCGTCTGAGAACGAGGAGGATGTACGGCAAAAGGTGCAAATGTTGGAGGAGTTGAAGAGAGTAGTCAAGCGCTTACAGAGTAGCAATGTTTTGGAAGGAGCGAAGGAGGTCCGGCAACTTACCAAAGAGGTTTCCGACGCCAGAACCACCCTAGCTTTGCTCGGAGCGATTCCACCACTTATGGCGCTGCTTGATTCAGAAGATTCCATTTCTCAGATCGCTGCTCTCTATGCTCTGCTTAACCTTGCAATTGGCAATGATGCGTAAGTTTGTTTATTTATTTTCGTTTAGTTGCCTTATTCTAGCCTAGTAGGATCTGAGTAGATAATAATTTTTGCAATCCTTCTGTAGAAATAAAGCAGCCATCGTTAAGGCAGGGGCTATTCATAAGATGCTCAAGCTGGTTAATGAATTCCCAAATTCAGAAGTCGCTGAAGCTGTAGTTGCTAATTTTCTTGGGTTGAGTGCTTTGGACTCCAATAAACCCATAATTGGTTCATCTGGAGCAATTCCATTCCTGGTGAAGAATTTGGACAACACAAACAGTTGTCAAGCTCGACAAGATTCGTTGAGAGCGCTTTACAACCTTAGCATCTCGCCTTTGAATGTTATCCCCATACTTGAGAGTGATCTAATAGCCTTTATCATGAACAAACTGGGAGATATGGATGTAAGCGAGAGATTTCTGTCCATTCTTTGCAATTTAGTATCAGTAGCAGAGGCCCGAAAGGCAATCAGTAGTGTACCAGATGCATTCCCCATGTTGGTTGATGTTGTGAGTTGGACAGATGCACCAGGTTGCCAAGAGAAAGCATCCTATATTTTGATGGTGATGGCTCACAAGTCGTATGGAGATAGACAGGCAATGATTGAGGCTGGAGTTGCTTCAGCCCTGCTTGAATTGACCCTTCTAGGAAGCACATTGGCTCAGAAGCGGGCATCGAGAATCTTGGAATGCTTGAGGGTGGACAAAGGAAAGCAAGTTTCTGATAATTATGGTGGTATGAGCACCACGATATCTGCTCCACAAGATTGTACAACATATTGTTCGAGTGTTGAATTGAAAGATGGGATGGAGGATGATATGATGAGTGAAGAGAAAAAAGCAGTGAAGCAATTAGTCCAGCAGAGCCTGCAGAATAACATGAAGAGGATAGTGAAAAGGGCTAACCTACCCCATGAATTTGTTCCTTCTGATCATTTGAAGACCTTCACATCAAGCTCAACTTCTAAGAGCGTGCCATTTTGAGATGACGGAGTATTTGGTAGCTTGAGATTTTCTATTTAAGGTATGGTTTTGTCTCGTCTATTGTAGTTTCTGGATAACTATAGTATAGTGTAAATTTTAATATTAGTTCCTTCTTTCGAGTTCATGGATATCTACTACTGTTAGAGAGTTTGTATTCGTACTAGATTTAGTTGATGTAGACCTTGCATCGCATGATAATAAAAATATTGTTGATCTGGATGCCAAATATTCAACGCTTATGTCCTTGCACTCTGTGTGATGAGTTGAAACAATTCATAAACAGAAGTAAAGCTGTGAAATGAGATATTTTGGATGAGATCTTGCTTCAATAACAATTGGTTGATTCTTATAAATGCTTTGCATTGGAATTGAATGCGATGTGCCCTGTACTGACACCATCTGTAGGTGTTATTGATAACTTTAATGGAGCTCGAAATCTGAGATCTACCATCTCCAAATTTGACCTCACAAACACTGTCGGTGTCAATGAATGAGTTACTCATGTATCAATTACTTCTCTCCAACTGCTATTTCCTTGCTTCGTTATCTCAAATCACTGGACCCCTTACAAACTACTCTTGAGCAACAAAGAAAAATAAAATACTAATTGTATTCATCTTTGTTGTTTGCTTGATTTTGGTGGAAAAAAAAAGTGTCATACATAGGTCTTGGACATCTTTTTTTAATTTACACAACGATGCCATATCTTACGTTAAAAATAACTAACAAATTATTCGTCTCCAAAATTAAATGCCTACTCGCTAACTTATACTACTTGTGTCATAAAAAATAGAGTAAATATTAAGAATAACAAAGATAAAAATCATATTAGTGCTCTATAGCTATTGTTTTGCTATTTGCGCTCCATAGTCAAATTATGTTTGCTATGGAACATCTGATTTGTATAAATCGTGGATTCGTCTATGCCTATGAAAATTGCGTTTGTATATGTAAATGTTCTCTGTGTTAGGTTAGAGTGGCAAGCGAGATTGGGAGAGAGAGAGGAGAAAGGCGAGCGGGAGAGGGCTGAGAGTGGAGAGAGGTGAATTATACATGTATATTAGTTAGATAATTGTATATATGTAACTGCTATGTATATGTATCAATGATTGTGTTTGTATATCTGTATAAAATTTGAATTCATATACAATTGAATCGAGTTAAAACATTTGTATTTGTATATCAAATCTCTCTCTCGCTTTATACAAACACAAATTATGCATTGTAGGATTTGTGTTGGTATAATTACAAATGTAAAATGACGGAGAGATATGTATATGCATTTGTATATACAATCTCTCTCGTTTTATACAAACACAAAACACAAATTATACATTTATGTTTGTATTAAGTGAGAGAGACTCAAAAAGAGGAGAGTGATGGGCGAGATTCCAGAGAGATGGGAGAGAGAGGAATGGCAAGAAGTTTGGTGCGAATTGGAATAAATGAAACTGTAGCTATAACATTTATTTTGAATTTTTAGTTTGCTATAACATACAATTTTCTATAAAAAATAACTGACGACACAAATGTGTTTGGTAGGACAGAGATTAATTTTTGAAAAAATATTTTTTTTTAAAAAATAAATAAAATTGGGGGTAAGGAAAGGGCTGATGGAGTTGCAGGGTGGAGGATTACAAAATGGAGAATTGAATTCTCATCAGCAAGATAAAAATTCAAATAACTAACGAATTAAGCTATTAAGATTCCTTTACGGGTGTGTGGTTATAATAATATTATACTAAAAGCGAGAATTTCCTATCTTCAAAGTTAAATTACAATTTTGCTTCTGCTATAAATCAAAATATTATAAAACATCTAATTAATTAAATATTAATTACTAATAACCTCCTATTAAATATTTAATTACAAATATACAAAATATGATGGTCATCGAATAAGATTTTCTTTTCTGTACTTTTTTGTTTGAATTTTTCTATTTGATCTAGTAAGGGAAAAGGTAGACCGCTTACCATAAAGAGAAGATTGTTTTATCTTCTCACTAGTAAAATAATAATTTATCCTCACTTCTTTGTTTATTTTTTTTATATTCACAATTTAAGACTTTTTAGTGATCATTTTCAAGTCATTTTAATGAATCATTATATTCAACCCACGTTTGAATTACTTTCATCTTTCAAATATTATTACAAAGATATCATTTATCGACAATTCATTGTTATTTAATTGATTGTTTATTTGTTTGCAGTAAGTGTTTATTTTTTTTTAATAATTGGTATTGCTTCAAAGAAAAAAGAAAACGTGCAGAGGAAAGACCAAAAGTTTCTTGTATCCCTAATAATTGTGGACTGTCACGACCCAATACGAGTCATGAGTGGCACTCACACTTAACCTCCTAGGTGGGCGAACCAATGAATCCAAATCCCAATATATATTACTTGTTAAACTTACGAAATACAAATCATAATGCGGAAACTCAAAACTTATTAAAGTAACCAATCAAAATAACCTCTAAAGTCTATTACACATTATCCCCAAAACCTGAAAGTCATCACATCAAGGACATCTAATCTTCAAATACTAAGTCTAAGAGTATTAAAGACACCAAAATAAATGAATAAAATAGTTTATGTCCGAAAACTAAGGACACCATGCCATGACCAAGAGAATCCAACACGAGCTAGAATGAATAGCTCACCCTGGAACCTGATGTGCTGGAGACTGGTTAGAGCTAAGGGCGAGTCAAAGTCACTGATACACTCGCTACACTCCACAAAAAGAAAACAAAGAAAAACATAAGTAGGGCTCAGTACAGGGCAACATTTACTGAGTAGATATCATCGGCCAACCCAAAATAGAAACTAATATGTAATGAATAATAATATAAAATCAACTATGACACTTAGCAGATGGCAAGCAACAAACACATGAACCAGTGTCAACAACACTAAAGTAAGTACGTAATCAATCAACAATATCAAGATCACACAGGACTCATGCCTCCAAACCAAACTAATTTGGAAATTGAGTTCTTTGAGATTGAGTACATTAAGTTAATTCAATATCTTTTTCCTTTAATGTTACCGTGTCGGAACGTGACACTCCGATCCAATAATATCGTGTCGGAACGTGACACTCCGATCCAATAATACCGTGTCGGAACGTGACACTCCAATCCAATAATACCGTGTCGAAACGTGACACTTCGATCCAATTATACCTTGTCGGAACGTGACACTCCGATCCAATTATACCGTGTCGGAACGTGACACTCCGATCCAATAATATCATTAATTTATTTCATCAAGCCTTCTTTATTCAAGGCATCACTTCGATAAAGAGGGTTTCAGATTATAAATTTCACGGTCTCAGGATTTTAGACCAATCACAAACCATACAATCAAACCACACAATCAAGTACATAGAGAACTTCACAATATCACTCAATACATATCAGTCACTATTAAGAGTCTAACTATCGCAATAGAATAAACCATAACCTACCTCCACCGAAGAATCGAAGTCAAGCAAGCTACTTCTCTAATGCTTTTCCTTTCCTCAATGCCTTCGAACTTTTCCAATCTATCAATTATATATACATAATTTGTAAGTTAATGAGTCTATAGACACCCATCTTACTATATGTCTAGCCTAAACCCGAAAATTCACCCAATTCTATAATCAATTTTTCCTAATGTTCAAGCCTAAGGATAAACCTTAATTTCTCCCAATAACATAACCTTAATGATATTCAAATAATATAATACACTCTATATTTAGTTATCTATCTCAATAAGTTACAACCTAGATTATAATGTGATAACATATAAATAGAATCGCGAACATCAACGGTCACTGCGTTAATATCAGTAACTAGGATACATGATTTATATCCTGAATTGAATTTGGCATATTCTATAATAATCAAATCTTTAGGTTATCATTATCTCATCATTGCCAATCATCATGGCAATTATTACCCACCACTATTTGTCTCCCCCAAATCTTAAAACTAACATTCTAACCAAAGGAAATTCAATAGTTTCACTTCAATTCCAGCGGCCCAGCTACAACAATATGAACCCTCATCACGTTAGTTTATCATCTGTTAATAAATATTCATGTTCGCCTCTTTCTTTTTAACAATTAACCTTATAATAATAAATTAGCTGCTCGATCCATCATTAAGCTGATTACCTCGCTGACACCAACCCTAACTCCATTTAATTTCAACACTATAATATAATAATTCCTACACTAACATGTTATTATAACTTTCCTACATTATCATATATTCATCTTTTTGCAAAGTAAGGAAAAAATCATGAAATACCTTTAGCCGTCGTTTCAATCTTGTTCTCCGACTGCGTCTCTTCAATTTTTTTTTTTACTTCTACTGATTGTTTATAACCCTAATTGTTATACAAGATCAATTATAAAAATAGTAAAAGTGACCCACTATTAATTTTATGTTATTTTATTTAATCACCAACTAAGTAATTTATTAAAACTACCCCACTAATTTCATAATTATAGTTAGGGGTGTTCATGGTTTGGATAAAAACTGATCCAAACCGAAAAATCAAACCAAACCGATTTAATTTGGGTTTTGGTTTGGTTTTAGATTGTTAAGAACCGTTAGTCATTGGTTTGGTTCGAAAAAAATCGAAGAAATAACCGAACCGAACCGAACCGAACCGAACCGAACCAACAAGTTATGTACATAAATTTTATTATTATACATACATAATATATTATATTCATAAACAATTTTAAAGATTTTACATATGTTTCATCAAAATTTATTTATAATTTACTTATGAAAGAAAAAATATCCAAGGTGAGAACATTTTTCTTATTGGTTTCATGTATATGAGTATCTATGGAAATTCATTGTGGGACTGAAAATGTCATTGTCTCTTCCTTCTATGCCAAAATAGTGAATTTTGAAGTTTTATTCAGTAAATTCAATGATCCAAAGTTCTGTAATGCTAGCCATTTTAACTATTTTTTCGTTTGAATGGATTGTTGTCACTTTTTTCACGTTTTGAATGAATTGTTTCTTTTATTTTTATGTATGGTTAAT